TTTCATTATTGAAATCTGAATCTTTCAAACAGTCATCTTTAAAGACATTTTTTTCATTCTAGCAAAGATGATACACTAATGATAGTGATCTCTTCATGTTTGGGGTAGATCAATTATTGCCCATAATTAAAAATATTTTGTATTTTAAAAAAAGTTTCTTCGGATTGACAAATAAATAACATAATCGTTTATCATTAATATTTTGTTAATTTTACATTTATTTTTCATGTAATTTGAATCTTGATCAGCTTCTACGAAAATTATCATTTCTGATCAAACACTAAGTTTAACTGACTTCTAAACCATTTATTATCAAAATAAATCATATCTATGTTGACAATGAATTGAATTATAGAAAGAATATTATAAGATGGAATACATTAAGCCCATTAATGACGATATATGATCTACTAGTAGAATAAACAATACTACGTCTATCCATGACATGTTCAAATCAAGCTACATACCTCTGAAAATATACCATATGCAAATTTTTTGTTTGTAAAAACAATAGAGATGCCAACGAACAATATCTGTGACTAATGTCTGCGCTCGAATTAAAGAGGGATGCTTGTGAGCTGAAGAACTTGACAACGACAACAGCTAGTGGCTGGCATTTTTTAGCAATTGAAATAGAAGAGCTCCGGATGGGTTTTTGTCTAATACTGTATAAGACAAAATTATTTTAAAACCTATCATCCTCCCAATACAATCTAAAAGATGCATAAAAAAGGATATTCTATTTCGATGTAATTTTGACTTTGACATGTATTTGAGGCAGAGAAACTTCGGATCTATAATTCAAGACACGATTTAGCTGATTATCTTCTGACATCTCAACGTTGAGCAAACAAAATAACCTAGATATTTAGTAAAATTCCATAGAATTCTATTGATTTGCAGCAAATTTTTGACTTTTTATCAAAACTTTCTTGAAATGTACCATCGTCTTCATGCATGTTTTTGAATTATTTCCGAAGATGATAAGTTTTAAAATAATTTTGTCTTATACGGTATCAGAAAGCTTACAGTCACTCTTCGTTAATTCTAGCAAGATCATTCATTTTTTCGCTTGTTTTTTATGATGACCAAATATTGAAATAAACATTGATTTCAACGAGGTGAAAAGACTGGAAAAAGATTATTTTAATTTAATGAAACATAATTGGTTTCATCTAAAGCAAAGCATTCATTAATTAGGATGCAGTCTTCTTCAGTTGATAGAATGACGAACAATGCTTAATCTCTTATTAGTTAAGTTATTAGAAATTCATCATCGGTCACATAATTCTTACAGAGAAACTTTTTAATTTTCATGAATTTGTACTGAGTATAGATGTATTGCAAAGAAACTACACGTAAATATTTACATCAAACAAATTGAATCTTATTTTTACGAAAGTGCTTTTATGCTATGCTAAATTTCCCGTAATATAAAAATAATGGTACCGAAGATTATCAATAATATTACATTGCGTGCGTATACATCCATACTTGTAGTAATGATTTTGAAATGAATAGAATTTATCCTTGAACATGTCTGTTTCAACAAAAGAAAGTAATAAACATCATGCGGGTTAAGTTTTAAATAAATCGAATAAAACATTTTTATTACATCATCACGCTTGATATTGATAAGTACTCTCTCTCTCTCTCTCTCTCTCTCTCTCTCTCTCTCTCTCTCTCTCTCTCTCTCTCTCTCTCTCTCTCTCTCTCTCACACACACACACACACACACACACTCACTTACTGAAATGAAAATGTTTGCGTTGCAATTATTACTCTTGGATTGATACGAAAAAGAGTGCAGAAAATGTTTGTTGACTGATCTATGAATATGATTTTATTTCATCAAGTCTTTCATTTCTTCAATAAATTTATATTTTATATGATTTCTTCGATTATTAATGACAGTTGGCTTATTTTCATATCGAAATATTACAAACTTTTTTCTCTGATCAAATAAAATGGTATAAGTTTCGTTTTTCTTTTTTGTTAACGCTTCGTTTAATGAAATGTAATGACTACACTTAACACTCATACTTGGCATTACGTTCTATACGATTTATTATTATTATTTTATATCGAATTTATGTAAAGAGATACAAACAGGTACTAAGATAAATGCAAAAAAAAAATAAGTTTCGTACAAATAGCTTTATTTTAATGAGACATAAGAAAAACTTACTATCAATGATAAAAAAGTTTATTGAAAAAGAAATAATGATGCAATACTCTCTGATAAGTGATGTACGTATGTATTAGGCAATTGAATACCATTTGTTGAACTAACTATAATTGAATTCGTGATTATCAATAATCGTATTAATCAGTCACATTATAACAGCTTGACATTAACAGTAACAGTTCTCTTACTTGAATGAAATAAGTAAGACATCGTTATGAAAACAAACATATTGTAACTTATGAATCTCTTAATGTCAATTAACTCTCGTAATATCATTAATATCATTTGCTGTCAAGGTTGATAATATATCTAGTACATATGTATGTTATGAGTTAATCATTCTATTCGTCATTCATGGCAACTAAACAGATAACATCATCTATAACTCATTTGTGATATGCATTTAGAAAACTGACGCCTTCGATGGATTGATGGCCTTAATCAAATTCTATATCTATGTTAAGGATGCCAAAATGATATAAGATTTCCCTCCTCTTTTGTTTTGTTGACATCGAGAGATAGTCACAATTCACAGAAACGGGCAAAAAAATCTTGATATTAGTAATGGATATGTTTGATTCTATGAATTATAAGAAGATAGTCTAATAAAAAACAGATTCTCTGTGAATCATATATAATGTTATTGAGGCGAGAAAAATTTCTTTTGAGGATTATTACTAAGGACATTATGTCTATCGAAACAATTATTCGGGTCTTTGTTGACCTTGATCTTCTATGAAGACACTAACACTTGACTGCTAGTGATGTGTATGCCAGCTCAATTTTTTTCTTTTTTTCTTTCTTTCTTTTCTTCGTTTTTTTTTCCGCGTCTTTTTATTCTCTGTTCATGGTAAATCAAAAAAAAAACGTACCTAGTTCGCAAAAGAAGAAGCGCAAAACATTCGTACTTTCTTCATCTCGTTTTATTAACAACAAATCTATTAAGCGACAAAAAAAACTATTTTTCTCTCTCCCTCTAGACTGAGAAAAGACGCCGAGATAATATTTTTTCTTTCTTTTTTTTCTACCATGTGCTGCCACGATAATTGTGTAAGTTGAGAAAGAAACCGCAAGTATTATTGAAAAAACACATTCATCAATCTATTATTTTAGTAATCTGTTAATGTGGACAAGATGATGAATCCTTTTAGTTTAATTTAAATGCATTTCGATACAAGATTATTTATTGTACATTTTATATTCATTACCAATTTTATATGTTTTTGCCAATACTCGGATGAACAAAGTTATTTATCATTAGTCGAGTTTAATCGTGGTGGTCCATCGACAAATGTGATACTAGCATCACCACATGGTGGTTTTCTTGGTGCTGAATTCACATCAAAAAAAGCAGGGAAAACGTTGACAAGTGGAATTTCTGTAGAAACACTAGTGCAATTACCTATCGGTGGTTGTTATAACAATACATTAGATCGTTGTGTATATACACTAAGAGATTGTTTAAGATCGGACAATGATGACGGGGACAAAATTTCTTTTCATCCTGACGCAAGATGCATTATCGATCGTAGTTCAACATCAGCTATGTATTCATTAACTAAAGCTATAGCTGAAGCATTTTCATCAGCACATCGTCCATTTACGATTTTAAATAAACTTACTCGTCAATATGTTGATCCAGCAGAAGATCTACTTACTGGAACATTTTTACTCGAAAGTTCTACTCGTGTCTATATTGATTATCATCGACTTATAGCTATGTCTAAAGAAGCTATATGTCCATCATCACGTGGTCTTTTCATTGAATTTATTTTTCATAGAAGTTCACAAACAATACAACTTGGTTATGGTTTTGAACCAACTCCTTCATCAATGATTAGTAAACCGTCTCAATCCACAATAACTGAATTAGTTTCACGTTCTGGTCCCAGTATTATCAAAGGAAACAATTCATTTGGTTATTTTTTACATCATAATGGATTTCAACATGTTATTCCACTGGAGCATCAACGACAAATTAAATATCGTTTATCAACCCATTCCACACGTATGCATGCTGATCAACGTTTTAATGCAATTTTGTTTTCATATCCAATCGAACGTTTAAGGACGCATACACTTAAACTGGAAGCAGTACGAATTGCCAAGGCTATCGAACAATTCATACATGCAAATAATATTAAACCTATTTCTGCGTCATCTGTGCTGTGTATCAATTCCATCACGATTTTGTCATTATTCTTGTCACAATTTTTTTCTAATATGTATATTGATCATTGACATTATGCCGTTTTTCTTCTTTTTTTTTGACTATCTTCTCATTGTTGTTACTTGTAATTCATTCTTCACGTACTCATCCTTTGTGTGACCACATTAAAAAGAAAAAAGACGGAATAATAGCTTTTAGAATGAATACAAACAAATATGAGCGATGTTTCTTTGATGAACTCTTTTCAAATTAAATTACAACTATCTCTAACAATAATGTAGATAGTTGAATTTTTATTAGAGCACAGCAGGAGATAAATGTCATATAAAATAACATATGCTGTACGTCGCGTCTAAATCAATCGTGTACATGAATCGGATGAACACATTTTATGACCAGCTGTGACATAATACTCATTTTCTCCATTAAATTGAATACATTTTCTTTTTCTTTATAGTTATTATAATTGAACATATAAACTGATAGAGAGGCACACAACTGTTCTATTATTTTCAAAAAACAAAAGAAAACCCAAGAAGTATCGGACCTGCCGATAAGTATAATAAACAAGCAGAAACTCTCATCAGTTTCATATCTGACAAAAACACGCATTTCAAAACGAGAAAAAAGTACAAGTTCTACTTAGATTAAATCGTATTCTTCATTCCCACAAGTTTTTCCCAATGGACAATTAAATAATTTACATGATGTACATTCAAATGGTATTGTATAAAATAATGTAATTAATACAATAAATAATGCAATTGTTGTCGCTAATGCTGTTGTAATAACAACAAGACGGCGAACATTTTTTTTAAAGCTAACATCTGGAAACACGATCATATTTAGCATAAAACCAATAAGAAAACCAAAACTTTGAGAATAATTATCAACTAATGGTAACAAACCAACCGTAAATAATAAGAAAAGACATATAATTATTTTAAAGAATGGTATCCATGGTCTTTTTAATGAACGCCAACCAAGAAATAACTCACTAAGATAACAAGCAAGTATTGCAAATTGTCCACCACCAGGTCCAACTTGAACTGAATCATGTAAAAATAATGCACTACTTAAACTTCCAACAAAACCAGATACAATATAAATTATCATTACACGTATACAGCCAGCTAATTTTTCTAATGGACGCATTATTGTATACTGAAATATAATTGTTATTAATAAATGAATTATACTAAATAAAGGAAAAATAAGATTTTTATTTTGTATTAAGCTTTGAAATATAATTTATACCCAGCATGAATAAAGATAGCTGTCCAAAATCGATAAACTTGATCAGGTAAACGAGCTAAAAATAAAAATGAATCAAACATTAAAATTGATAAAAAAATAATTTTCTTTTTTTTACCAACAAAAAATTCCAGCATACCACAAACATTTTGAATACAATCGATCTAAATGCAAAAACTTTTTCTTTTTAATTATGTTCAATTTTTATCTCACTTGAGAACATAAATGAGCTCGTGCATGATAAATTCCTCGTCGACGACGACAATCATCTCGTGATGTCAAAATACAATCTCCAAGTACACCAGTGCAACAAGGTCTCGCTAACAAAAAATAAAATATATATTTTAAAAAGTAAGATTCCTTTTAAATATATACCTATATTTGTACATTGCATATGTGGATAAAGAGATATATTATTAGCAATTCGACTGTAATCTTGTTCGAGACAAATCTAAAAGATTTAAATAAATTAAATTCTTTTTTCTTTTAATTTATCAATTATCTACCGGCCATTTAAAAGCGTTTGGAGACCATTTTAAGATTTTTGAATTAACGAATGTCAATGGCCATGTACTATCATCTTCTCGGGGTGTATTACCAATTAATTTTTTTATACATGTTCTAAAAATATAAATTCATAAAAAAAAATAAAATCCAATATTTCAATTACTCTGGCGTAAGTCCACACACAGCAGGATAAATAACATTATTTTGGTTTTTAAGACTTTTACTTATGAGTGGTATTCGATGCCATGTTAAACCTACTCGTGACTAAAAAAAGAACATACAACCAATGTATATCTAAAGTTCGACGATTTAGCAATTCATACAAGGCATTGTTGAGATAACGTTTGCATACAACGTCCAGTTATTGAATCAATACAACAACCAGACATAGCTTCTAATTTTGCTTGTTTTTCATATCGACTTTTAACTTCATCATGTGTACGAATACATGGTGTATATTTTGCCCCTAACCGAATTAAATCAGCTGGATATGGACCAAACCATGGATTCATTGTTAAGTCAATTTTTTGTTGTTTGAAAATAGAAGAATTTTTCTAGAATAGATTTTTTTTTAAATTGTGCAGAAAAAGAAAGATAGAAATTTTGGGTAATTACAGATTGAGTTGATGATAATGGAGCATAACCATAAACAATTAAAGAAATCACACAAACAAGAACTTGAACAAATGTTACCCAATATGTAAAATATGGACGATGTGAACGATAAGATTCATGAATTTCAGCTAATTTTTGATGTTGTTCTTTTATTGATTGACGTTTAGAACAAGAAAAAATTGCATTAAATCGACGATTTTTAACAGAAGCTATGAAATACAACATTTATTTCACAAAAAGAAATAAAAAACTAATTACTATGTGACTGTCGTCGGTTCGTAGAAGCATTAGTTCGTGAAGTAGCAATAATCGGAGTTGAAACACGATCATCATCTGTTTGTATACTTTTAGTACTAATAATAAACAACATAAACAAATAAAGTTTTCTTTTTTAGTATTTCTTATTTTACCAAACATCTGTATCTACATGATCATGTTCATTAACTCCAATAGCTTCTGTTGTTGTTAGATCTTGTTGATTACTTTTATTTGTTAATATAATATTTTTTAAATCAATACTAGGTTCATCTGCTTGTTCTTCTTCATCCTGTTCATACATTCAAAACAAAAAAAAACCTAACATTCTGTTGTCATTCAAAAAAAAAGATGGAAAAACAAAAAGGAAAAGAAAACAAGCAACAGCAAAAAGCAAAGGAAAGGGTTTTAACTATCGACCAAGTGCTTTTTTCTTAATGCGAGCAATTTTGTATGCATATATAAAAGACACACATTTAGATACTGTGTCTACCTCATCCAATGACGTTGATGCACGTATTGATTTCGTACGTGACATCTCATCTACCTTGAAACGAGATTTAATTATATAAAAAGAATAATAATTTAATTATAACTTACAGAAAGTAAATTACGAACACCGGTAACAGCCATACCAAAAATTGATCCACGTTTAGCATTTAATGCTTCAGAATCCATACTATCAGATGTAAAATTTTGTAATATTGGAATAATAGGTCTGCTAATAATTTAAATGAGAAATTTATTAAATTAAAAATAATAACAATTTTCTTACCTTTGCTCAACATCACTACCTTGTTCATTGACACCAATTTGATCGGCAACATCATCTTTTAATTCTCCACCGAACATGCTATATTTACTTAAAAAATTATAACGTCTTTGCTGCCAACTATCTTTATGTAATGCTGGAGCAGCTGCTGTTGCTAAAATTGGACTGGTATTCAGCTGCATTACACTAAAATTAATAAAGTATAAGTCTATAATTCTTTCCGCATAAGTAATATTTTCTTTTTCTCTTTTTTGTTTCATTTATGATCTTAAAACTATTTTCATTATCTACCGATCATGTCGATTGATTTGTTCTGATGCCGTTCGTCTCTTTCTTACAGGTGCTATTGTTACATTGCCTCCAGGTAATTGTCGAATAATTAATGTGGTTGAAGGTAATTGTACTTGTGATTTAAGTCGCTTTTTATGTCTCATCGTTGACATTGCAAATTCGGTTTGTTGTTGTTCATCATTATTTTCAGCCATCTCTTTCTTTTGAATAGAAACGCTTACTTATGTGAAAACCATGTAATATGAGTATTCAAATAGAAAAAAAAATTACGAAGAAAGAAGTGCTGTACTTCAGTTGTTCTATTATTTGAATAGTGTCAATAGGAAAATGTGAAAAAGACTAAAATGAAGCGTTTAAAGAGAAATTGTGTAAAACATAGAAAAATAATGTATCTATGAAAATAAAATAAAAAGAATTAAATTCTATATTTCCATCATATGATGACAAATCTAAATTATATATGAAAATGTTTATTTTCGAACTTATAATACAAGATGACATTAATAATTATTTTTTAATCACAAGACACGAGATAATAAATTTATTATAAGAGAAAAAATCTCATTCAATCCCAAATGAAAAAAAAGATTTCTACTCATGTTCGATCAATAGAAATATAAGAAGAAAGAAAAAGGACTCATTATCGTAATTAATTTTTTTCTTTACTAGACGATCGAGAAACAAAGTTGACTACGTATATAATGATATAAATGAAGAGTTTTTGCTGGTTTATATATGAAAGACAAGTTGTATATTTCTATTGTGACTGATCATGTTGCAGAATGCACAAAAATAAAAAAGAAGATTGACTCTATCGAATCGAGTCTAATCCGATTAAGTATAAGTCGTTGGATTTATCGATAGAAAAAAAAAAGAAACTAAATCTTATTAGTTACTCTATCGACAAAAAGAAACAGGTAAATATATTTTTCGAAGGCAAAATGACAGGAAACTCAAAGAAAATTATGCTTTTGACAGCAGTAATTTATCATCAATACAGATGTGTGTTTCTCTTTTATTCAGTATTCATGTTGCATCGAAAAGAATTCATATATACGAAGAAATACGATTATTAAATTATGAATTCCCTGTAAATTATTATTGACAGTAGCCGCTTTTATCATATTAATAAAAGAATCGATAGTGAAGAGAAAAAAATTATAGTAAATGAAAACGAATGATTTTTCATTTTGTCGCTTTTCTCTAGATACTAGTAATAATACTACTGCGTATATCCAGCTGCTATTTCTTTTCTTTTTTTTTTCGTTGTTGTTATTTTTCTGTTCCATCACTCGTCAATACATATAATAATATCAACACATAGGGTACAACTAGAACATCTTAGTATGGATATAAAGCTAATTTTAAAAACTCAAGTTACAAACACTTATTGTGTCTTATCGTTTGTTTATTATTATATACAACTTGATAAATATTACTCTCACCTATTTGATTTATTTATTGAATCGTTGCTACTTATAATTGTTGGAGTTGATGATGAGTAAAATAAGTATTTATTATTTTCTATGTCATCATCTTGGTTGATAATTTCAATTTCATTAATATCACAGGATAATAATTGATAATGAATAATAGAAGACATTGACGATGTCATATTATTATTAGTCGATTCTATTGTATGATTTTCATCAACCAAACCGTTGTTGTATATATGTTAAAGAAATCGAGTAGCGTTATTGACCAGTTCTTATAGAACTGTTCGATGCGCATATATGCGTATAGGAATGTACAAAAAAATCCTATTCTTGTTCCATGTGTGCAAGTAAACTTGTTACTTATATACGTCTTTTTCTTTCTTGTATTCTTTTTTCTTACTGACCTTATTTGCGTTCGATCACAGACATCATTACATCGACTCTTTTTTATTCTTCCCAATAGGTTACAATCACTCTGTATCAGAATTTCTTGCCGATTCGACGATATTCTATCGTTATATGAGATAGTTTTTTATGCGTTAATAGAACAATTCATAAGTTGTCGACGGAATCAATAACCTGTTATTCTTATATTGTTTTTGTTACTCTTATATTTTCTTTGAAAAATGTTCAAAAAAGTTAATTTTCAGTCATGCTAACTGTTTAGGAGGAATAGTTCCGGATATTTTCTATTATTTTGTCCTCGTGTACTTCATTCAAAATCACGATTTTACTCTTGAGTTCACGATCCGAAAACCATCAACTTTTATATTAGCATTATAAACAAAATGATTTCAACGTGAACTATATATTGTATTCAAATTCTTGTTATCATAAGTCGACATTTTTGCTTTAAATAATCAATCAAATATATTAAAAAGACGATTATTTATTCCTTGAATATGAATAATTTATAATTTAATCTTATATTCTATATTATGTTTTTATTATTATATTATATTATATTAATCGAAAGTATATTGAGCTTAGTGCAATGAAATAAGATTAAAGACGAATGGATCAAATTACACGATGAAAATCGATCTAAGAACCCTTACCGCTTTGTTAAATTATACCATCCAATTGGTGCATTATTAGTCGTTGATGAAGTCGCTGGTGTTGACGTTTCTATACATTTTTCATGTTCAAGCACACTATCAATAGCTATATTCCATAATTGACGGCTACGAGAAGATCGATTTTCGTTTAAATTTCTTTTATTAATTGGACTAGTGGGTGATGACAAAGATTTTCTTGGTATACGAAGTAATGAAGTTGTTTGTGAATGAGCTACAAAATATTTTTTAAAGATAAAGAATACTGATAAAAGAGAAAAGATTTTCAAATTTACGTTTTCGAGTTGAATTAAATCTAGTATGATGGTTCTCGTTTTCAGCCATTTGTTTAACAACAAATTATCATCATTTGCATTGGAAAAAAAGAAAAATATGAATTTCTTTTTGTTTATTTTTATATTATTATAAAACTTAAATTTTGACTTGATCACTTTTGTAACAGTATCAATACTAATATGAAACAAATTAGTATTGTATACACAAGTTGACAATTTAATTTATTGATTTTGCTGATTGGATGTTGTGATTTAATACAGAGAGACATCTTAAACATCATATTAATTTGTAACAGAGGACGCTATATAACAAGTACTCTAATACTGTTTTCATATGAAATATAGTGTAGCATAAGAAGAAAATCGTTGATGGTAGAACAGTACTCTACAACTTTTCAAAAGGTTCATTTGAGGTGACCGTAAGTGATGGTGATTATTAGCTCTTTCTTTTTCTTGATGTTAGAGCAAGAACTATCATGGGAAGAGCGACATCCGACCTGACCCATCTTTAGTCACACTACTAATGAAGCAATCATCTTCCTAATTGTAAAGATAATTCTAGATACATGACATACATTTATTGTAGATAAACAATAAGATATCAAATAGAATTATTATGAAATTTTTCTCGCAAAATTTTATAATTTACCGTATAATAGTTATTACATTTGAAAAATGATTTTATCTCACATTACAATCATTTATGTTCTTGTAGGCATTAAATACTTTTTTATAGGTCATATTTTAGCTATAATAATCCGGAGCAGAAGACATGCATATATGTTTTGATAAATATCTAGGACTCGATATACCATTTAAACGTGAATGCTTATCAAAACAAGTGTTTATTATCAAATGCATTTCATTCTCAAGTATCCTCTATTTCTTTTTGCGACGACAATCGAGCAAAGCTTGTTCTTTTTTTTGTTCGATGCTTTTATATAATTAAATGTACCTTAGCGAAAGGTTTGTCTTATCTATATTGTCTAACCATATACCTTTTAATATGTTACGATTTTTTTTTCTATTGTCCTATTTTTTTTTCTTCTTATTATCGTCTTTGCTCTTTGATTATATATATAAAGGGGCACGAACACGAGAAAGACACAGGTGTATGTGATTGCAGCAAAAGAATACAAAAAAAAAAAAAAAAAACTACAATTGCCAATCTAGGTTAAAAGCAAGCTTCGACCAATATTTTTTGTATTTGTTACAATGCCAATAAAGTCACCTATTTATTTAATCGCCAGTGGTGATTCTCGTCTTGCTGCTAATCAAACATGTTGGGAAGCACAAGATAAACTTGAACAAGCATTAGCTAAAGCTCTCCAACCACTTGGTCATGCAATAAAACGAGCACATGAATATGATGAAAACAAAAAACATGGCTTTATTGATAGTCAACGTATGGGTATGAATGTATTCGCAAAATTACCATCTGATGATGTTCCATTAATTGTTGCCGAAGCTGTTTGGCAATATTCTCATCATGTTTTAGCTGGTTTAACAACACATAAAGGTCCAATATTAACTGTAGCTAATTGGTGTGGACAATGGCCAGGTCTTGTTGGTATGCTTAATTTAAATGGTTCATTAACAAAAGCTGGTGTTAAATATAGTACATTATGGTCAGTTGATTTTACAGATGAATTCTTTTTAAATAAACTTAAAGAATGGCTTGAAACGGAAACTATTCAACATGATTTATCGCATGCACGACCATTAAAAGAATGTAAAAAAATATCAGATGATTTGGAAGCAATTGGAAAAAAAGTGGCCGAAAATATATTAAAACATAAAGCAATTATGGGTATATTTGATGAAGTATGAATATTAGATTTATTATGCATTTTAATTTTATAATCAATTATTTCATTTAGGGTTGTATGGGAATGTATAATGCAATAATATCTGATGAACTTCTTCATAAATTAGGTATTTTTAAAGAACGTCTTAGTCAATCAGCACTTTATTTTGAAATGCAACAAACAAAAGATGATGAAGCTCATGCTGTTTATGATTGGCTTAAAAATAAAGGCATGAAATTTGATTTAAAAGAACAACCAAATGATTTAACGGATTTAACTGAAGAACAAATTATTTGGCAATGTAAAATGTATATTGCTGCTGTACGTTTAGCAAATGATTTTGGTTGTGATTTAATTGGTATTCAATATCAACAAGGTTTAAAAGATTTAGTACCAGCATCTGATTTAGCTGAAGGTTTATTAAATAATGTTGATCGACCACCAGTTAAAGATCGTACAAATCAACATATACTTTTTGAAAATGCTGCTGTACCACATTTTAATGAAGTTGATGAATGTGCTGGAGTTGATGCATTTATTACAAATCGTATTTGGAATCAATTAGGTTATTCACCTGAATCAACATTACATGATGTACGTTATGGTGAAGATTATAATGGTGTATTTACATGGCTTTTTGAAATATCGGGTGCTGTTCCACCGGAACATTTAACTGATGGTTATAAAGGTGCTGTTAGTTTTCGTCAACCACCAATGTATTTTCGTAAAGGTGGCGGTACAATTCGTGGTGTTTCAAAGCCTGGTGAAGTTGTTTGGAGTCGTATATATACAGAAGATAATCGATTAAAAGCTGATATTGGTCGAGCACGTGTTGTTGAATTACCAAAAGAAGAAAATGAACGACGTTGGCATGATACAACACCACAATGGCCTATTATGAATGCACAATTACTTGGTGTTAGTCGAGATCAATTAATGGCAAAACATAAAGCTAATCATATTCAAGTTGCATATACACCTACTGCTCAAGATGCACAAAAAGCATTGGCAGCTAAAGCAGCATGTTTGCAAGCATTAGGTATTGAAGTTATTGTATGTGGTACTGAATCAGGACTTGAATAAATTAAATTAACGAAGGAAATTTTAAATAAATTAGTTTTTTTTTGTAGTTATTTTATTCATCATTGTTCTAAATAATAAGAGCAATTCATTTTTTTCTAATTAGAAAAAAAACAAAATATACAATGCAAAAACAAAAAAGAAATGTTTCTTTTTTTACAAGAGATTCTATTAGAAAAGCTTAGATAATCTGACAATTTAAGATAATCGATCAAGTTTTCGTTTCGGTGTTGTTGAAGATGATAAAGATTTTGATGAATTCAATTCTGTTGGTTTTAAACGTCGTTCAATATCGTTAAGAACAGGCTAAAAACAAAGAAATATTTTCTTTCTCAGAAAAACAATCTGTTATTGCAATTCCTGCAGGATTAAAATTTGAAACACGATATAACTGCTATTGCTAATCACAAAGATATTGTTTTATTCTATCTATTGTGGAACACATTTCTTCGCCATACTTCTACTTAATCTGCGAGAAATGTAATTAGACAGTAGTTAATATACTAGAACGAGACATTATAGATATACGATCTTTCATCGTATACCAACAACGTCTATTATGAAGGATAGACGATTTGAGGTGTGGGTGTAGATAAAGACAAGCACTGCACACACGCCCACACTAGAATCTCTCGGGTTCAGATCTGAAATTTTTGGATCTGATGGGCTCTAATGCACGTCCTGATTTATTGAGAACTTTCTTATTTATCTTTCATTCGTTCTTTTTCTAATAAATAAATTTGATTTAATTAAAACTGCTCATCTTTTTTATGTAATTAATAAAAAATCCTATACGAGAGTCTCTATCGACATTTTTATCTAGTAGACGGGAGGAGTCTGTGATGAGCCATTTCTAACGTGATTATGATGATCTGTAGATTCCGTATGTCACTGCCTTTGTGTGTGTGTGGGGGGGGGGGGGCAGATTTCCACTCTCTATATTTCAAAATTTATTGTAAATCGTGTGTCACACAAAAGACCTATTTGAAATATAAATATATATACCACAAGATATTTTTTCCATGCTAAATGTTCTTCTTTATCATAATCATCTTCATTTTGTTCCGTAACATTTGGAAAATTTTCTTTTAATATACGATATGATGCTAATGTTTTTATATTAAGTTTACTAAGACAAAATGCAATATTTCCACGTTTTCGATCATCACCACTAAAACAAATTCAATAAATAAAATCTAATATACATATATATTCATTTTTTTTATTACCTTGCTTGTTTAAATTGTCGACAAAGACGTTTAACTAATATTTCACAATGACGATCATTTTTAATAAATAAAAAAAGATAGGAAATAATTTGATGAAATAAATCGATTGAACATATATTATTCATAGATAAACGTGATATTATATCAGGTAAAACATTAAATAAAGCCATACCACGTTGACGTAAAGATAATTCATCAAAAAAATGTTGAGCTATACTTGATATTGGTGTATGAGAATGAAATAAACATAATGCTATTTCACTAATATAACCACGAACCTAATTAAATTTAATTTAAATCAAAGATTCTTTTTTTTTTCCGAAAAAATTTTCTTCTTACTTTAATCATTTCTCGTAAGATAAGTATCGCAATAGTACATAATGCTGTTTCACCGACACTTAAATCTTTATCATGGATTTGTGCATAAAATTGTGGTGTAAATGGTTCAAGTATATTTGGATGTCTACAATTAAAGTTATTATAAAGAAGTCAATAAGAAATTAACTTACCGAAGAAGAAGATCACCAAGAGAAACGATTAAAGCAGAACGTACAGATGGGTATGTACATATTTTCGAAAGTTCAAAGATTCGATCGACATATTTTGAACATAGAATTGATGAAACATACATCATACGAGTACAAGTTAGAATACTTGTTAAAACAAGATTTTCATCATAGAATGAATGATCTTCATAAATGAACTAGAATGGAAAAAGTACATAGAATTCTTAAATTGTCTTTTCTTAATAGAATATTTTATAATGAATAGACATTTTACATATCAGCTTATTCTCTGGTAATGCAATCACTCATTTTTGACTTTTAGATTTGTTATAATTTAACGTGACACAAAGAATTGAAACTTACACTACAACAAGATATATGAAAGTTCGAATTCAACTAAAATTTTCATTCCATTTAGTTGAACTTTGATGACTTTACAAGAATAGAAAGTCATCGTAGTGCATACATCTAAAAGGAATTTGTTCATCAAACAGATTTTAAAAAGCTTAAATTCGTGAATTTTTTTCTCTCTGATCGAATTATTTTCATTTACGTTTATAGCGAAGAAAATAGGTCTAACGATAGTGAAATCTGTTTATCTTTTTCAAAGTTTGTTCCTAGGAAAACTTATCACTAAAACATTACAATAACACGATCAATGACTCTTCAGATTCATTAAAACATATAGTTTCTACAACTTTGACAATAAAAAAATATGATTCACTGATGTCAAAATGTAACTCAACCTTACATAATACTATCATTATTTTCATTTTTTAAAATAGGCCTAACAACTATCGTTTATCTTCGTCATTATTCAAAACACATGACATCTATCAATGTAGAATGGAAAAATGAAAAAGAATTTCGATAAGTTTGTGTTCAAGAAGTTTTCTGTTTCAATATTAGCCGAGTATAGTCCTTTTTAACTGAACAACCCGAAGTGTTCAGTGGTAGATTTAAAGGAAGAGTGAACCCCGTCGGGTTCAAAATTTTCGGATCCAGACCCGATTGAACCATACTTTAATACTCTCAATGAAATATTCTAATCGAAGGTGGATAGTCATCCTGAAAATACGAGACAGTTTGGTTCAGTTTTTTAAATTTGTTAGCTAGCGTACACTACACATTTCTCAGACGACTAGAGCCCATAGGGCCTATAATGCTCGAATACGAACCCGATTCGATAGACTATGGAGGAAGAACATTAACGAGATTGCTCCTCACTTTTGGAATACTTTCCAATTTTTCTCAGCAGAAAACGCCCAACAAGAAGTCGAAACGACATCTAATGGACTTAAAAACACGTTTTGTAACCATAATTGCTTTTCTTCCACGAAATCCTAGATGTACCACTGGAAGTGTTTAATCTCGAACTTGTTATTTTTGGTAAAACTTAACGACGAAATCAAACATCTATGTTACATAACTTCTGAATTAGCAAAGCAAAAGAAAGCATAATAGTCAATTTAAGCAGCCAAAATAGATGTGAAATTCTTATTCTTACTGTTTCAATCCATTTTTCAATTGAATAAAAAAATGAATTTGATTGAAGTAATTCATTTTCAAGATGACTAAGATCAGACTGTTGTTGTTGAATAAATGTAAGATGATCATCTGGGCTATCTATTTTATCTTCATCTTCGTCATGAAATGATTGTTGTGATATTGATACTGATGATGATGATGATGGATGAAGAGAATTTTCATTATTAGTATCATTATCATCATCATTTGTAATGAAAGAATTTTTTTGTTTTTGAATTTTTTTTATTGATGATATATTAACACATTCATGTTTTTGTACTCGTTGAGTTAATAGAGTATTTATTGATGCTAACAATCGAATGAATATTATTCTCCATGATATATCATTTGATTTCGTTTGATAATCAATATTATCTAATGACCAATGAATTTGATCAGCTAATGAATGAAGAAATTTCATAATTAAATCATTTGCTGATATTTCAATAGGTTCTTTAAGAAATAAAATAGTTATTAATTGTTTCATACAATTAATCCATGAATGTTGATTAAATTGAATATTAGAATCAAGTAATTTTTTAATGATTAAATCATAAAATTCATTTGGAATATTATATGAAGTTTTTGTTGTTAATAAATTTGAAATAATTTGCATTTGATAACGAATATAATCAAGATTTTCTGTATCCATTTTACGTAGAAAATTCTGAATAATTGTATTGAAATGTGATGATAAACGATGTTTTTTATCATATGGAATAACAAATGATATTAATTGCAAAAATGATGATTGACGTTGATGAATTTGTTTTAAAAAATCATCAGATAAATGTTTTTTTGAATTATGTGTTGTTAATTCCAAATAATAATCAAGAAGAACTTCAATAAAAGAAAATATATTTGCTGTTATTGATGTAGATTCACTAAGAAGTTGTTTAAGTATATGTTCAAATGTTAATGTTATATTTAAATCGATTTGATCAAGTAATTTTTCAATTATTCGTTTTGATGATATTCTATAGAAAAAAAAATTAATTTTATTGTAGATCAAATTTATCATTAAGTCAATTAATTTTTTAAGGGAATTGAAACTGAAGATGGAGAACATTTAAATATTAAAAATATTCAATCTTTTCATACAAATAAATCCTTTTTTATTAAAACAAACTAATAAATTTCATGATTCAATCAATTTTGTTATTCAAGACTACACTTTATCGAACTTTAAGTTATTTAATTGGTCAAATCGTCGTTATACTACAGATTTTGATAGTTGATATTCAATGATTTTTCTTACTTTTCATCTGTATTATCTTCATCAATTTTCAAACAAATTCTTTTAAATGCATTAAGAACAGCATTAGAAATATTTTTATCATTTGACCAAATTAATGAAAACATATGTTGTTCAAGTTTTTTATATACAGCTGATTCACTTTCAAACGTTGACCACTAATAAAAAGAGAGAAAAAAATTTAGGAAAAAAAAACTTTTTGTTTCAACATCATACCAAAACAAGAAAATCAATTATTTCAAGAACATCACTTGTAACTTTTGAACTAAGTAAATAAAAAGTATCTTTAACAAGAAATCTTCGAAGATGATTACAAAAATCAGTTGCATTATGTAAATAAGATCTAAAAAAAATAAATCAAAAATCATAAAATACAAAATAATGTATCTTTATATTCTTACACAAGTTTTGATTGTTTAACCATATTATCAAATAATCTTGTTGCTTTTTCACTTGGTTCTTCATCATCAATAATTTCAATATCGGAATTCGTCGGTAAACAATTATTAAGTTTACTTTGCAATTGTATTAATATACTCATTTCAGCATTGTATTGTTCAAATGATGGTAATGATTCATCTATTGAATACATTGAACAAACACGGTGCTGTTGTTCAACAATACGTTCAAATAAAACATGTTGATTATCAAGATCATTCTCTTGTTCATTGTCATTTATTATATTCACATTATTTGGAACATCCTCTATCTTCAATGTTTGTCCTAATAATTTTTGTAATCGAATTAATTTATTCATTTCAGCATTATATTCATCAAGCATAACATCAATTGGAAGAAACTACAATAATAATATAAGAAAAAAAAAACAGTTGTTATCACAGTTACTGCTGAATTAAAATGTGAAACACAATGTAGCTACTATCGGTAATCATAGGAAGATTGGTTTATTCTGCCTATTTTATGATACCTTTCTTCATCATACTTTGACTTAATCCTCTGAAAATGCAATAAGAAAACAGTTTATGTATTAGAACGAGACGTTATTGATATAAGGTGTTTGATCATATATTAACAACATCTGTCACGATCTATGATCATAAATCAACAGCGTTTATCAAGACATGTGAGAGTGTGAGTGATCAAAATTTTTATCCTTATTCTTCGACACCTCTTTATACAACATATTTCACCAAAAAAAAATTCTAATAAACAAAATTTTTTACCCGATCCGTATATGGATTAAATTTGAGTAATTTTGTTGCTAGTTGTACAGCATGTTTTCTTACAATACATGATGTATCATTCATTCTTTCAAAAGTTGCTTGTGTTAAGTGACAATAAAATTTAATTGGAATTAATTTTGATTCAACTAAATTCATGCATAATCCAATAGCATGGGATCGTACATGAACATTACAATCAAGAAAATATTGATCAATTATTAAAAGAAATAATTCACCACGTAATTCTTTATATTGAGATAATGATGAACAATATCGAATTATATTTACACAAACATTTAATAAACAATTACGCATTTGTAAACAATCACTATCGAATAAATCAAGTAAACGATTAATATAAATTATTAAATGATCGGATATATGAATTGATAATTCATCAAGTAATTTTGCCATTGTACGAGAACTATTTGTTTCAGTTTGAGTATTTGATAGGGAAGTATTTGAACGACATGAATGATTTGATGTAGATGACTGAATAATTGAAGGCGATAAACAAATATGACAAATATCACTAGAACAAAATAAAATATTTTCTTTTGCTTTTTGTTGATTAAAATATTCTTACTTGATAATTCTTTCTAATAAAGTATCCGTTCGAAAATGTTTTACATGACATATAATAGCAGCTGAATAAATCGTTGCTGTATGTTCTTGAATTTGTAACATTTGAATTATTTTCATACTAGAATCTAAGACATAAAATCACCATTTCATAATTGAAAAATACATCGGAATGTATCTTATGTCTACAATACTACTTAATCATAATCAATTTTTCTCGGTAAAGTATAGAAAATTTCTATGCTAAATAGACAGCGATTTCTAAATGCTACTTTCAAAGTAGCGGAAGTTTCTTTAAGCGGTCTACCAAATAGGGTTCTCCTTTACATATGATTCTTCGTACTACTTTTATACTAAAAAATTATAGATTCGTGAATAAATAGCTTTTATCTAAATAAAACAATGAGCAATCAAAGCCAAAGATTCAGACGACGATTAGATTTAGAAAATTTATTAATAATCCAAGTAATTTTATATATAAATATGGATTAATATTCGTTATAGCTAATTTATTAAACCTTGTTTTTCTCGTCATGTTATCTTTTGAACTTACTCCTTTTTTTTTGAAAAATTTACTTATATCAGGACACATTTTTTGTTTAAAAAGAAGGTTGAATCATTATTAAATCAAAGCATCTTCAAAAGGAAAATTTTCTAGATTTCATCACTATATATTTGAAGTTTATCGTACAATATTTAGTAGATCAACTAGACCTTTCTCAGAAAACGTACAAAATAGCGAGACAGATGTTTAAATTCACCTTGTTCAAGTCGAAGTTGCCATACTAATTATTTTATTTTGAATACTTTCAATTTTTGTTTGTTTCTGGAATAATCATTCATTAATTAAATAACTAATTTCCTTTGTGAATCAGTATCTGTTACTCATCAGAAAGTTTTACTAGGCATTGAAATTGCCCTTGGATAATTACGGTTGACATCGCTTTGAAAGTTTTAATTCATTTCTGAAAACATTTGTTAGATAAGTTCTCGAAAAGACTTCTTTATTAATTCTATTCATGACAAAATGGCAATGACCAAACTGCAGTTGTTCTACATTCATGACTAGTTTCTCTGAAATGAAATTCATGCAATCTAATTTTAATGTATTTATCGAATTTTGCTTCAACTATCCTGTTAAAATTAAATCTGTATGAAAAACTGCAGTTATTTTAGATTCAAGATAATTTCAAAAAATTATTCTACACTTTTTTGATTATATATACTCTTCATATTATTAGTATACATTATCCTAAGAAAGTTTTAATCCAATTCATCTCTATCACTTTAAAAAAACGGCAAATTAACAATTTTTTGTGCTTCATTTCTTTGATATTAGTATATTTAATAAGAACAGACTTTAGTGAAAGACAATGAAATATCCTACACCGTTCCATACAATAGAAGACCCTGAATCTTTTGTTGCACAAAGGGCTTCATTTATCATACACTGTTATCAAATTCAGGTCAGTATTCAGGCAAATATTCTTCCACGTATACGTTATTAAAACAAAACTTTCTCGAAATCTATAAATTATTTTACATGTAGTTTCTATTCGATGATAAATGATGAACTTTTCTGTTTAAAAAAAGGCATACAATAAACATTATATTGTTCATGTAAAGACTCTCTTGCTTATCTTCTCGATTGAAAATATTTTATTACGATTAGCGTTTCGATCAATGAAATTGATCTTCTTCGGAAAATTGAACATCGAGAATAACATAAACAAACACAAGGATGATTAATACAACTGTCAAATCTAATTTTTCTGTTTTCTTCTTCTTTATCCGTGCTAGTATTACAATATAAAGAACGAAAAAAGAATTGGCAGAGTTGACAGTTATATTAATCATCTTTGCATATGTTTGTGTTAATCTAAGTGTTCAATTTTCTGAAGAAGATCGATTTCATTAATGGAAAGCGTTAATTGAAATAGAATATTCTCGATTAAGAAGAATATCTATACCTTTCGGTAGAGAATGCTGCCTAAGGGTAGATTGATTAACTCGATATCTTCTCTACAACTATGACTAGTTGTAGCTTTGAACAGAGGACTAGCCACGAGAGCAGGTGTATGTCAGAACTTAGTCAACACTCTCAATCTAGATGATTCAAAACAAACAACTATTAGCGACTTGTCCAGGACCATTTCATAGCTAGTAGTACCAAGGTTCGAGTATAGTATCTATTGAATACGTGCCTAACATCGTAGTTATCAAGCCATGATGGCCTGAAAGGAAGAGAGTCTTTTCATGAGCAATGTCTACAATCTTTCTCAGTCATAAAGAATAAACATTACAATCAAAGATCTACTTCGTCTTTTACCTTCTTCAATACGAAATAGCCCAATAGTTAATGCTAATATAAATGATAAATAATCTTTCACTGTTCTTGCTCGTGATGAAAATTGATTATTTCGAATAATTGTTAAACATACATCCACAATTGTACTGAAATATTTATTAGCAAACATTATAAAAAAAAAACAAGAAAATAAATAATTATCCTACTTTCCAATTTGTTGATCTTCTAATCGTTCAGTTTCATGCCAAAATTGACGAAGATCAAGTTTAATAAAATTGGTAAATAAATAAAGTATTTCATCACGTTCATTCATATACCACTCAATATGACAATTTTGAACAGATTGTTTTTGTTTTTTATTATTTGGAGTGCCAATATGTTGTTGTTGATCATTATCAATAATTAAATGTTCCAATACAAGTAAATATCGGCAAAGAAGATCTAATGAAAACAATATCATTTGACGATAAATATCATCAGCATTAATTTGTTGTTGAGAACTAATTGAGTGTATTTCATCTTGTATGACTAAAAAAAGGTATTTGCCTTTTGTTAGAATACCTTTTAGGATTCATCCTTCATTAGTCGACAATAATAATGTAAAAAGTTAGAATAAAGATTTTCTGTATATTTTGACTCTCATTATACAGTCATGGACAAAGATTGCCGCTTCCCATGAAGTGCTACTATTATTTATAATGAATTGATCAAAGTCATCGTGGAAAAAATCCTTCTTACTAAAAAACCGACATTCGTTCTACAACAGGTATCCTTAATGAGAAGACAATATCTCAGTGATTTCTAACGAAAATCCTAATTCAAAATAGCTACAACAGTGGTCTTTCGAATGAAGAGTTCGACGAAAATTTTTGTGCCAATACGTTTGAGATAAGATGATGATCACAAGAGGAAGATGATATTTGAATCATAACTCCAGTACGTGTGAATCTATGTAAAACGTGTTAATGCTTGCGATCAGAGTTTGTTGTCGCATACGTGCACTTAAAACATCAACTCAATATCATCAAGAATAGTCGCACTTGATCGGAGGCACAATGTGTCTTTTTGCATGATAGGCAAACATGTGACTTGCTTGCTTGGAAACATTTGGCTATGACGCAGAAAAGCGTTTTTAAGAAAAACAAGATTTTTTGGAAAAAAAAAGTTTTTGGCGTACAATGCCCAAGGAAAACTATTGTCCTCATTCTTTCGGGAAAATTATTTTGTGTTACATATCATTCGATGCAGTTTAATGCACTGATTTCAAATATACTATCTTTTTTTATTAAATATTTTTCCAAAGCCAGAAAAATTCAAAAATTTTAGATTTTTTTTGGAAACTCACTATGCAGTCGAGGAATGTTTGCACTAACAAGGATTAGAGACAGTAGAAAGAAGAACATTATGACAAAATTCAGAGGTTGGATAGCTTATTTTACGTAACTCACCGTTCGGACGACATTAGAAAAAAAACATTTTTTTTACCATTGTATAGAGCTCATCTTAGAGATTCAGAAAATGTACTTAATTTGTCTGTCGAACAGTTTCATTTTGTCAGATATGAATTTCCTCGGTGACATTATGATTTTCGGGCTAATTTTTGGGTAACTGATTTTTCATTTTCTTTAAGAGTTGTAACGAGTTCATTTATTTCATTAAATAGACTATATTTCGAAGTATACTTTCCTATATGGAAATCTTGAAAAAGCACGATTTTCATTTTTCTTAAACAAATGTCCGTCTACATGTACACTGAGAGAAGAAGAGAGCCACTGGTCTTGTTCACAACTGTTACTGTAAGAATTTTTCGAACATTTTTATCTGTCGACTAACGAGGGAACCGTTCCAAGTGATTCACGCCGATTTTGCTTATATTTTGCCCAGATGTAGGGGCCAGTATGCTAATAAAGAGNCTCCGTGTCGTATACGGAGAAATACGGCCATATACGGAGGAAAAAACGGTTGTTTACGGCAGTCGTACACAGATTTCGTATACAATCTCCGTTTTGCCCCGTATTTGTCCGTATACGGTCACGGTGATATACGACCGTAATACTGGACCATGTAAAACGCAAAAATACGACCGTTTACGGTCATATAGGGAGCTTATATGGTCGTTTACAGCAGTATACGAAGTCCGTAATCGTCGACCTGGGCAAATGTTGAGCCATGTGTCTGCACATAGAAGAAAATGTGAAATGATGATTTGTTGAGGATTATCTAATCTTTCTGAATATTTTTAGGCTTGTAACGTACACAATACAAAGGTTTCGATCATATTTTCTAAGAATTCGAAATTTAGAAAAAAAGATTATCATCTGAATTAGTAATGCTTTATTAGAATTTGAACTTATAACAGCTTCAAAAATCGTTGCCTGTGCTTATTTCTTTCTTCTCTCTTTGTGTTTGTTGAATCAGTTTATTGATCAATCATTACTAAGGTACAATAAATGTCGCTTCATCCAGAGCATCATATTTTTCGAATGCTATGTTTTTTGTCGACAATGCATCTCGTCGAAAAAGAGCAACTGTCCATATATACAAAATAATAGCAAAAATCAACACACAAATAATCATATCTGAGGAGGAGCTACTGGAGCCTATTAGATTCTTAAATTTATCGTTTGATAACGACTTGTTTATGTTTATAAATACTTAATTTTGTATTTTATTACCATTCGTTACCTGTGTAAAGCGGAAATTTTCAACGCTAGAAAGATTACCACAAGTATTCGTACCTTATAACTTGAAACAAAAATACACAGGGATAATCATTGTAAGTCACAAACTTGCTTGTAAAGTGTATCTTAAAAACATATACGCCGAGGCAAGGAGAAGGTGCAGGTTTGGAATCCCCAACACCATCGCACCTGTGCGAAGGTGCTGGGAGTTCCAAACCTGCACTTACCCCCTTGCGTCAATGTTTCTAATCTAATCTTGAAGTCTCAGTAATTTCAAAAGTGACAATATACAATTCATGATGTTTATCACTCAGCTAAATACTCCAGATGAATAGTGCACAATCAACTCTCTTCAGAGAACATAGAGTTTGTCGAACGATGTCACGATTCGATGGTTGGTCTCTTTTCATTTTCCATCGCATACAATAATCTTATTTGCTTTTATGATTCGACAGCTTTCGAAGTTTTCCTACTTGAAATCGACCAAAAATTCATATATTAGGAATTATAAAATAAAATACAAATTATTCAAATTCTGCAGGTATGTCCTCACTTTCTTTCAAATAATATCTTATCTATCACTAATCATTTTTATTGAAAAGTATGTCTGTTATTCAGTTGAATATTTACTCGAACTGTTATTTTGATGATACCATTCGCATATTTTATTCCTCCTGTTCGTTTAACTTTATGAAAACTATTTTGATAAACATAATAGCGACAAAATAATAGCAGATGTCGTTTCTGTTACGGGACTTGTTCCGATATGAACCAATAATAATTATTAACGGTCGATGATGATGAATAAATGACTGCTGTCTGGCTAGTCATCGCCCTCGGTGCTTACTTACTATTCGATTTAATCAATAGGAGGACAATTAAAATACAAAATGCATCAACGACATAATAATGCTAATCTCACTGCAACGTTTATGACATCGACACGTTCAAGTGGTGTTCAACAAAATGATACAGTTCATGCTCGACTTGTTGCTTTTTGTTCTACGTCTTCGAGATCTTCATCGATATCAACTAATGAAATCGAACATCGTTATGTTCCTCGTCCATCAATTGAATCAGACTTCATATTCGAATCCTGTCTTGTTTTCTTTAAAATAATTTCACTTTTTCTGCAATATGTATTAATATATAAATCTGAAAAATGGGTTGGCCCTTATAGTACACCAACAGATTCATTTATTCATTGGCATCATATTGATAGATGTGTTGTTATTATATTGATTATATTTTGTTTATCATTACAAGAAAGATTCTTTATTCTTAAAGTATTAATTAATATAATTGCATTAATTTATTCATTTTGGATTTACTCATGGAAATATGTACTTTTATTTACATATCCACTTGTTTGTTCATTACTTATTAATCAAGATCATAATCAAAAATCACATCATCATCAACAACAAATATTAATATCATCAAATACTTTACCAGGACATTGGTGTTCAACAAATGCATGTGATTTACGCTATGAAACTGATTGTCTTAATCTTGAATTTCATCAACGTATTCGACATATATTATTTTCATCATTTTTATTAACTTATTATATTTGCATTGTTCCAGTAGCTTTTTGTAATACACATTATATACGTCTAGACATAACTCTTCTTCTTCAATATGGTTTTATTTTATTTCTTAGTTTAATTATGATTTATACAAGTCATTATCTTCCTTTGGAATTATTAACTGTTTTTCATCGTAATGGAAAACATCTTGGTTCATGGCAATGTTTAACAAATAATAATAATACACTTATGATACCATTATGGGATGAAAAACATCAACTAGCATATCCATCAAATTCAATCGTTAAATATAAACAACATATATATCGTTCTTCAAATAATTGTTCAACAGTTGCTGAACCCGGTAATATGTGTCACACACGTTTTTCGTTTTTATTTAGTCGACCATTATTTTTTCCATTCCTGTTATGTTCATTACAAATTATACTTTTAATTATTCAAATAATGTTCATTTTCATTGATCACCGTTGGTTTGTTCTTTTATCCCAAATGATACTCTTTATATTTAATACATATACTATACATCATACAACACGTGATATGTATTTACTGTATTTGGTTTATTGTTGAGAATGAATGATCATATGTGTTGCTTTGCTTTTTATGCAGATAAAAAAAACGACCAAACAGCAATAAGATGTTTTGTTTTAACACGCTTTGCGTATTGTCCTTGTTGTATTAGTGAATGACTTTGTTTTCTAGATATAAATATGATGAAAAAACTTGATTATGTTAATTTACCTGGCATTGTAAGTATGATAAAAATGAAATTTTTATATAATTAAAATATGTTTATCATAGGTTAATGATCAACCGGATTGTTTTGAAACACCTGATTATCCAGTAAATGAACAATTTCATGAAGTTGGACATGATCATTCAGATGCTGTTAATCAATTTGATATTAATGCAAAAGAAGTTCATGATACATTTAATGGAAAATATCTTAATGGCAAAGCAGCCAGTATGTTGAAATATTCAGCAAAGTGTATATATATTTTTTTTTGATTCATTCTGCCTTCTAGATTTTTCTGATAGTTCGATTAAAGCCCGTGGTTATGTTCAACATGGCATTTATCAAAATGTAAATAAATAATCTTTTTCAGTGTTTTATCCAGCGTGAGAGTCCAGTAGAGACTTGCACCGAAGTCAACTAGATGTCTTACTAATAAATCAGATTTAACAAAAGCGATTTTTTTGAATTATAAGTTTTCATTCTTTACTATTCACTGTACAAATTTATATATTTTCGGAGTTCAATTTGTGTCTCTTCAAGACCTATGTAACCATGAGAAGTTGAAGGCAACCTTGATTTCGATTTTTCTTCATCTTTGTGCAGTCCTAAGGAGACAGACATGAATCGATCCTTCGAAATACATCAGTTTGGGGGTAATGAATATCAAAGAATAAAATTCACCACTCAAAAAAATTTCTAGTTTTCAATATTATTTGCTGGCAGAAAGCTCAGAGAGCTCCGACCACTTCTAACAATGACATCAAAGCAAGGTTCTAGGAACAATAGGATAGCGCCCTTCCAAAATTTGTGGTTATTGTGTCACATACTATGTTTCGGTGGTTCGAACAATAAGTGTTTTCTATCTGAGAATTTTAAATAACCTCTCCAGAAGAGAAAATCTCGATAAAACACTAATTTATTTATATTCTTATTGATTTTAAACTAGTATGCTGAACATGAAACTGAAACTCCAATTGAACGTTATAAACGTTTAATGGCTGAATTACAAGAATTAGAAGAAGAATTTAATCGAGTAAATATTAAAATAGATTTTATATTTTTAATCTATTTATATTTTTATCTATATTTTAGGCATCAAAAGAAGGTTTGAATAAAGAAGAAAGTGAAAATTTAAATGTAGTTGTTCAACATATACAACAATTACAAGAACATACATCTCAAGTTTATGGAGCTAAATTTCTTTTAAATGGACGTGATACAAGGTTAATAATTAACAGATTTTAATAGGACAAATTTTTAATTATATTCAATTTTAGTTCATTACTTACAAAATTAGCAGCATCGAAACAAGAAGCAAAACAGACAAATACAGGACAAAATAATTCTGATACATTTAAATTATATATTAATCCAGCAACAGTTGCAAGTTCATCAACATCAGCTTTTCAAGTAAAATAGGTTTTTTTTTGGAAAGGAAAATTTGTTAATCAATTATCGATGTTTAGCTTTCGGAAATCGAACAAAAAATATCGAAACTTGAAAATTTAGTTGGCCTTAATGAACAACAACCAGTAATGATAATTTGTGTATATATATTCTAGTCATTTGTTTTTCTTATTTTAGATTGAATCGAAATCTTTATTAGTAAATAGAATAATTTGAAAACTTATTTAATTTATTATTTATTTCTTTAAGAATTCACTTGAACAATTAACAACACGTATTAATTTACTTGATGGAACAAATGTTGATCATATTGATATGAAATTAGCAAATGTTCTTGCACGTTTAAATGCAATTAATGACAAAAAAACACTTGTTGACGACCAAGATAAACAAAGCAAAGTAAAAAAAGAAGAATTATATTCTATTGTATTATTTAATTTTTAATTATAGGCTGTAGAATTATTCGATATGATGTCACGTTGGGAATCAATGGCAGCTAGTTTACCAATAATTCAACAACGTTTAATAGCTCTTAATGAACTTCATCAACAGGGTAAAAACATTTGACATTCGAAAAACTCTTCTATATTTTCTTATATTTAGGTTTTCAATTCAGCACAACATTATCACATTATGAAGCTGAACAACAAGCATTAAAAACATCACTTAATGCAAATGATCAACTTTTAAAACAAGTAAAAATTAAATGAGTTTTTTGTGAAACTCACATTATATTTTTTGAAAAAAAAGTATAGTGAGTGTAAGCTTTAACTCGGAGTTTCATAGCTCTTCTCACATGCTAACGGGGGTCAAAGGACAGAAGCCAATGAATATATCTTCTCTGCAAAGACGGTCAGGCAAATGGTCATCTGATCGTTTTCATGTCAACAGGCGTTAGGTTCCTCTTCCAGGGTTTCGTAGCAACGGAAAAAAGTAATGAACAGTATTAACAGTAATATTTTGACTGTTCTAATACCCAATTTAAGAAAAACAGTAGCTAAAGCGCTGCACTTCTCATCATTGGAAAGGGAAGATGAACTCGCATCGAATCATATATTAAGAGTTATTCTAAGATGTTTTCCTAATCGAATTTATAAAAAAAAAAAAAGTGCTCGAAAAATGGTTCATTTTAACGACAACAAAAGCAAAAATGTGATGTTTTCTGCATCAATCGTTTGAAAAATCGACCGAGAATTTTGACTAGCATATTTATAACTTCTAAATCACTACATATAAAAATCTAAGGCTTCCGTTACTTTTTAGATCCTCCACTGACAATTCCTATACAAACCTGATAATTGAGAATTCATTATAGCCACCTTACAGGGAACAAACATTTCCAAAAAGGTTGATTGAAAACCTTATAAAAGCCAGGTTGAGAGAACATTACTATACAATTCGATTTCTCTTCATCTCCTCCTTTTTCTAAAAGTGAAAATCGCAACTCTTTTGGAATACGTTGGTGAATGTTCTAAATACGGCAGTTTTTGGTTTTTGCGCAGATAAAATCTTATATTTAAGATGTCAACGATGATGCATTGATTTACCACAGTTGTCATGTAATCGATATAGAAAATGTCAACTCATCAAATTATAACTTTGGAAAACAGTTGACATCAACATTTCTGAGCTTATCAAGATATATGAGTGTATTGAGACTTGATGAGATATAATGGATCTGTGTAATAGGCTTACTTGTCAGTTAAACCAATAGTTAGAGTAATTACTTTAAACTAAGAAAAACAGGATACGAAAATGAATAACAATAAGGCAAACAAGAGGTAGAGTACTGGTAAAACAAAGAAGAAAAAATTCTGTTTATTCTTGTAAACCAACGAAAGTCTGCTAGACATTTTTCACTCAATGTATTTTTTGTTAATATCATGAAACTAGCAAACACATATGAGTTCCACATGTTAGCTCCATAGAGACTGCGTTGACAAGCCTTTTTAAATAAATATCATTATTCTTTATTTTATTTTTAGTTAAAAACAACGTTTGAATCGAATCTTGTTTCACTTCAAACTCAACTTAATAATATCGATCAAAAATTAGTTACAAGTGGAAATCTTAAAAAGAAATAGTCCATTCATATATATATATATATACATTTATATTCAAATATAATAATGATGCGAAGGGTATCCTCTTTTGGTTTTTTTGTATTGGTGGTGCATCAGATAATTTGTTCTTTTCTTTTTATTTGGCCTTTGTAATCACATATATTTTATTATCATCAGTTAACGTTCTTAAAATAAAATGTGAAGGGATGTACTAACAACAACAGATGTCAATAATGTTTTTTTAATAAGCTATTAGATCTAATACATCGACAGGTTTCTATCTGAATCTATTAGTTTTCAAGAAAATCTTACATGGAAGATTTGTTTAAAATATTGATAAAAACTAAAAAGAAAGATTTCATTTTTCGAAAACCATGAAAATCAAATAAATAAAAAATAGATAAAACTTTCTATAAGAAAACTAATGGTTTTGTGACTTAAAAAATTTATTCCTATCATCGAATATGAAATGTTGTTTATTAAATGATGCAAATGAAATCACGTTTTTCTATCTTAATTTCATAATGATATTTTTAATACGATATATATTGGAAAAAAAATAGAAGAAATAACAAAAGTAATAATGAAAACATCATTTTCGTGTTTCAATAAATTTGCATTGTTCATATTCATATTTATATTGATGTTTCTTCATTCTGTTATTATCTCTTTCTATCAAATCATGCAAAAAATTGACAATAAACTTCGTGAGTTGCAAAATACCCAAAATGATTTCTATTCATATCCTTTTTTTTGGGAGAAGAAACATTGATTTATGTAATTTATGTTATTAGTCATGGTTTTAAGATATGATACTACATTAGATTATTTTATTGTTTTCAGTGTTATTATTGAATGTTTGAATAAATACTAATTGAATTCTTACGATGTCTTTTCTAAAAATTTGTTATGATAGCTTGTTTTGTTATGGGATTGATCGTTTCATTGAAATAGTCTTCATCAAGACTCAGCTAAATTTTTCTCATGTAAATCATATGTGATAAGATACTCTTGAACATCATCAAAGTTATATTTTTGTTGATAAAATCAGTAAATATAAGCAGAAGCCATTTTGTTTATTAAAAATCTACTGAGCATAAAAAGTCAAACTTCGAAAGATTAACTGAACTCCGTAATCGTGTATTTATTCTTTTATTTACGATTAACTATAATCATTCAATGAAGAAAGACAACAATGATATACATGATAATATTATTGTTAAACTTGATGACATATTTTGCCAACCATCTCTTAGTGATGATCTCAATGTATTCCTTCTGTACTCGTCTATCTAAGTAAGTGATAAATATTGACAAGACAAACACACATTCCTCATGGGTTTTCTAAATTCTGTAGATGCATTCCTGACTTTTAACATTTGTTTTGTTTTTATTTTAATTAACTAGAAAACTTCTTTCTATCAGTAATAATAACAGTAATCATGTCATAGATGATCAATAATCTTTGATTCGCATGCATTCTTTTGTATATCAGTACATTTTTATCAGTAGGTTCATTTTATCTATACTGATCGATTCGTATAGTTTATTGTTTATATTTCTGGCTATGGCTCATTCACGTAGACTTTGGATTGAATAGAGTACATAAAGAGATAGATAGTTGTCAAGATCAAATGAACATAATGGATGGCAAGAATAAAGTAGATGCCCTAGACATAATAACTTCACATACATAGAGACTCATCAGATTCAGCGAAGTGAGTGTGTTTTCTCTGTGTGCAATTCATTTCTGATATCTTTATTGTTTACATTGCCAATTATAACACTACATAGATATTAGAAAACACATTTTCCATTGTTATTCAAGAACATTTAGAGTTTGTTCTTATATTCAATTATAAAAAACACTAAACTCTTTGACAAATGTTTGAATTTTTCGAATACTTAGTAATCGATGGTGTGACAAGATTTAAATATTCGAAAGTTATAGTTGAATGGTAGACTTCAGTATAGATTAGAGTATTTATTGAGTTCAAATCATTGTTCAAATGCAAGTAATGAAATGTAAAATAATGATAACAATGATATGCATTAAAATGATTTACAAATAGAGTGGCGGAAAAAAGTTTAAGGCACTTTTTGTTTTTCGTTTTTTTTTTCATTAGAGATCCCTTTTAATGGGCATCCAAATAGTGATTTTGATAGCTCTCGGAACGAGCTACAAATGTATTGTATCGAGAACATCAACGGTGAACTGGTTAAGTTTTTATAGCAGAAACTGTTTTCTTCCAGCAGAAAAAAATTTAAGGCACTTTTTGTATTTTATCGATTTTGCCGTTGTGGAAGAAGAGAAAACGTTTGAAAACTATACCATTAGATTCAGAATTGAACGGGCTACANTCTTCTACATAAGAATGAGATTGATACATCGATCCGAGACCTCATAAACCGGACAGTAAGTTGGAAACTGTGTAAGAGTCTGCAATTTGTCTTTACTTACGAAAGTCAAAACTAAATAGGCCATTTTGTAGAGAATTAAATTCTGCATCGAATGGTATGTCTCTCAATATTTTTTCAAAAATTGTTTTGGTTAAAAAATTCAAAATATGATTTTTCACAAGTTTAAAACCCGGTTTTCGATTCTAAAACCTAACTTTTTTACAAAATAAATGTCAAATTCGTAATCAGCGTTAAAAACTGCATCTAGTAACTCATTCAGATTTGTCCAACTCGAAAAAAAATTTTTTCGAAACTTGATCAGCGAAGTGTCGCGTTACGTGGACAAGCCGAATAACAAAAAAAACTACATACTTATTCTACATCAGGAAAAAACGAGAGAAAGCTTTTTAAAAAAATTTCACACACCAATTGATCCTTTTTTTATGAACTTTTTCTCTGTAATCAGACCAAGATGTTTTTTAAGACTTCTTTGCTAAATACTATTTTCTACATGAAATATTCGACTCAAGCTTTTACTTGATCGTAATCAATCTGTATAGTCGTTTCTTTTTTTTAAAAAGATGTTTACAAATAAAGAATTCTGAATGATTAATATCTTTTCTTCTCTATTCAGAGAACACATCGGTTATTTTCTTCTTTTTTTCTTTCTCTTGAATTTGATGACAATTAAGTCGACAAAACAAGAATACATACAACACAAGTACAAAAAAACAAAAAAAGAAAGATGATAGTCATTTATGACTGTCTCGCTGAAAAATTTCTTCGCTTGTGTGTATGTATATTTGCATTAAGTTTAATCTTCATCGGCATCTTCATCATTGCCACCCTTTTCGCCTTTTTTCATATTTTTTCGTTTAACACGACCTGTAGAAAGAAAAAAATAGAAAAGAATATGTAACTAAGAAAAATAAGGTTCTTATAAATAAATACCTGGTCGACCACCGCTGGATAATGGTGAACGAAGAGCAAAATCAATATGTTTTTGCGAATCAAGTCGTACAATAAATGATGGAATATTGACTACTTGTTTTCGTACACTATTTAATAATTGAAAAAAGGAATTATTAATCTTCAATTTTATCAATTTTACCGAATATGACGTTGTCGAATAAGTACACGGGCATGATGAATACTTTTAGCAAGAGCAAGACGTAAAAGTTGTGTTTGAAGACGACGTTCTAAAAAGTCTTCGACTTTTAAACCCAACACGTAATCGAGCTTCATTTTCGATTCATCAAGTACACCAATTCGAACGAGACGACGAAGTAAAGCATTACCTTAAATAATAAATTTTTTCTTTTGGAAATGTTTTTTTCTTATACAACAAACCTTCGAATAATCGTTTTGGATCTTTTTCTTCGAGTGTTAATAATTCACGAGCAGCTTTGCGGATTTTGGCCAATGTATAACGAACACGCCATACTTCACGTTTATTTCGTAAACCAAATTTACCGATAAGTTCAAGTTCTTGATCGAGACGTTCTTTTTCATATGGACGACGAGGCGTCGAATAGGTCTTGTTGTATACAAGCGGAACGCGTGGCATATTTGCCTAATGCGATCTAAAGCAAAATATTTTCATTTTCAAATCAAAATATCGAAAAAGACAAATACGCTTCTTTTCGTTTAAAAAGGAATAAATAAATGCAATGGAATAGTAACAAATAAACAACATCATCTTCAAGATAAGTTTGATTGGTTCATTATTATCCTCGATGAATTGATGAAAACTTTGTTTCAATGATAAGAAAAAGTTCTTTATTTAAATTAAATACTTAATAGAAACTAATATATGAATACAAATATTCTATTAATCAGATGAAGAATTTTTATAGATGGCACCAGCTGTTTTTTGTGAATAGGCATGTATTGCAAATGATCCAATCATTCTTTTTATATTTTTCATAAAAGTAAAGAAAGAAAAAAAGTATCAACATTAACGAGTGGCGAATTTAGAATGCTGCAAAAGTGGAACGACTATGACGATAAAATATGTTTTGAAGTCCGTTAGAGGTCGTATCGACTCATATTTTGATGTATTCTGTTGAAAAAATATAAAAATATCTCGAAAGAGAGGGGCGATCATCTCCAGTGCCTTCCCTCTAAACCCGCCACTGGTATTAACAAGCTGTAGATAGTAATCAAATTACTATTAATAATTTGTTTTACTGTCTCATAATAAACAAAAAATTATGTGTGATTATCAATAAGAATTAACATGATGAAAATGATCTAGTAGCCATGCTCCTTGTTGAGCCATTATTTGACAATGTTTGATTTCAGATTGATCTTGTTTTTGTATGATTGAATGATGATATGATGAATTTTTTTCAAATTCTTCTTCCTTTATATGACGAAATGATTGTGACAATGTATATCCTTGTGTTATTATTGATTGAATCGACAAAAATAAAACATGACTAGCATTTGTTAACGGAACATATTCTCCACCTGAGTATAAAAGGTAGATAAGAACAAAACTATGATACTAAAAACAAAAGAATTCATTTACCAGTATTTTTAGCTATAGCCCCATACAAACTATCACATATACCAACGATTGGACCAATACCCACAATTACTAATGTAAGATTGCGATTGACGAACTCATTGGAGATTGCCCATAGATCATCGCAAGCACATGGACAATCATCATCTTGTACTTCTGTTGGATTAACTAAATTTCGACAGGGAAAACCATCAGTAACCAAAAATACAATATTTTCATGAAATCGATCATTATCCTGTTTGTAGAAATAATGAAAATACATTTTATCATAGACAGAGAGAGAGAGAGAGAGCGTTTACTTACCGTTGTACGCCAATCAAGGTTAAGAGCTTCTTGCAAAGCATCATCTTCAATATTAGTGAGAAAAATTATGATAATAATAAAGAAACAATGTCCTTCTTACGGATTGCTATAGCTCCATCTTGAGTATGTTGTTCTACTGATCCATGACCAGTAGCAAACCAATGTTTAAAAGTGGCGACTGATTTTGTAAAAGAATGAACTATCGATAGACTAGAGTCATCGTCAGTTTTATATTTAACTAATGCCAAACGAATATCACAATTGTTTTCTATTAAAGGATTTATAATAGATGAAATCGTATTTTTAACTGCAGAAAGCAAAAAATTCATTGATTTCATAGTAACTAGAAGAAAAGCGATATCCATCGACTCATTCATTGAATCTTGTAGCATAATTAATATAAACTGAAAAATAAAAACTAGCTATTAAAAATAATAAATTTAACTTAAATAGGTATATAATATCTGTTGACTCTTGTCAGGCAATAATATTACTAGCAAACGAGCTTTACGGAAGACAGATAGAACGAAAATCAAAGTCTGAAACTGCGAAGCCAAAGAAAGAAAATGAGAGTCTACGCCTAAAAATATAGGACAACATATGTTCTTATTTCACTCGACATTTACATAATACTTGTATTGTTCGACCTGGAAGATACAAAAATTAGTAGTTAAAATGAGCGAGAGAGGAGTGCAAAATATTAATCACATGCACTGAACGATACTTCAAGAACCAACATTATTCTAGTAAAGATAAGTATTACTCAAAATAGAATTACGACGACTTCTTTCTTCTTTTTTTTAAAATCAGGCATAACAGCCGTCAATGTTTCATGAATACATATATATTTATATATATATATTCGACGGAATATACTACATCATGGGTCTATGTCATGTCTAAAAAGTATGATGCAATGATAAATAGTCAGTTTTTTATGATTTTCCCCACAGAAGAACAGCAATAGAATATAAAATGACGAAGTTTCATTTGATTGTATGTTATTCGCAGTAAATTTTTCTACTAAATATTATAACATAAATATGTTATTCCTCATATTTGTCAGTAAATGAAGCTATCTACTATGCTCTAGAACAACAACTAAGTCATGATTTTCATATCGTCATTCAGAAACAGTCAGTTAATGTGCTTTATATGAAATAAATCGACTACATTCTTATTTTTTTCTCTTTTACTCCAATCAGTATTATCGACAATATAAAATGGTACACTTCGTTTCTTAATTAAAACAATTATTGGCATATTTCATAATTGCCGTTTTATTCAATATTTTGATTAAAAAAAGAAGGAAAACAATTCTGATTACATAGACCGACAACCACACATTTTCATGATTGTCTTTGACTAATTCGATGAATCATTTTCATAAGAATGATTCATAATATAATGTTGAAAAGCAGCTTTCTATTAATATACATAATGCACTTGACTATTTGAAGAAAAAAAAGTGTCATTTTATTGTAAAGAATGACATAGTGTTTGTCATGAGCTAAAAAACTGTCAGTTTTGATATTTTTCAACTCAATAAATTTCATGAGAAAATTAAAAAAATTTTCATGGACTATTAATATCATGTTAGAATGTTTCTATTAAAATTGTTTATTCTTTTCGAAAATGACAGATTCTCTTCTATGTTCTCGATATCTGTATATTTACAATAGAAATAGGCATTTGAAATCAACCATTGCAAAAAAAAAAAAAAAGCTATAGACATCATCATGATCAACCATATAGATAAAATCTTATATAAATACACACAGCAGTAAATCAATTAGAAAAATATTGAATAAAAACAAAAATAAATGAAAAATCAATTCATTTATCTTTTCTTTTCTTTTCACACCATCATAATAGATAAAAATTTTACATATCTATAAGTCAATCAATTGTTGATTCAAAGTGTTAAAATTTATTTTTTTTTCTTTCTTCGTGAGATTGAGAATAATAGAATCATTGAAAAAAATTTTTTTTTGTCTCTCTCTTTTTTTTTTTTACACGGAATCGTGTTTATAAAATGTCAATAACAAAGCACAAGTGTTAATCGATATATATATATATATAACTACGTAGATACACAAACGAGAACATCTGTAACAGTAAGAAAAAGGTTAGAAAAACGAAACATTCTAAATAGTGCAAAGATTCTGACAACAAAAAATAACATTCGTCAAAAGAATGAAATGGAAAAATCAATAAATCAAAAGAACCGAAAGGCATATCTTCTTACCTAAATATATTAATTAAAGAAATAGAAGAAGACTTAGCCTTAATATGAATGTACAACCAAAACAGAACGAAATAAATTCAATGAATTAAAATATAAAGAATAAAAAAAGAGAGAGAAAGAAAGAAAATGTTAGGTCTATCATAAAAAGTCTTGAATACTTCTGTATAAGATTAGAAAGTCGAGTATGCAAAAAAAGAAAAACTAACGGATAAAAAAATTTGTTCTTAAAAGCATTCATCATCAATTTCACTAGTCCAATCGAAATCCGTACGATATGAAGAAATAGGCGAACCAATAATATGTATAAAACTTGAATCAGTTGATGCCGTCGTCGGCAATCTTGTTCGATAACCTTCATCATCAGTTATTGGTGTTGAAGCCATAATGTTTACATTTTGACATAACAAATGATGAAAATAATCTTTATTCGATGATGGAGAATGAGGTTCAAAATCATCATCATCATCATCGATTTTATCAATAATAAATTCAATTGGTTGATAACGATATGTAAACAACCATTTTCGAATATCAGTCATTGTTTGACAATATTCAATCATAAAACGTGCTCGTTTTTCAACATATGAATAACAATATAAAGAATTATATTCAATATTAACACGAATATCAGAATGACGAAATAATTGTGCAAGTGTTTCTTCTTCTAATATGGCTCGTTTTATAACAGAAGAAAGAACATGTGAAGCATTGATCAATGGAAGATATTCACCGCCTAAATTGTCACTAATTTTGTTGTCTTTAAAATATAAAACAAAGATAATTCTTTATACCTGTTTTATTAGCTAATGCACAATAAAAATCATCACAAACAACAACACTAGGTTCAATGCCAATAATAACTAATGTAATATCTTGTTTTTCAAATTCATCTGATATTTTCCAAAGATCTTTACTATTAAAAGAACATTCATCATTAAGAAAATTACAAGGAGGACCATCAGTAATCAATATTACAAGTTTTTCATGATATCGATTAACATTAGTCTTTAAAAATAGAGCGAAAAAGAACAAACTCATTTATTTAATGAAAACAGAAAATGAACTTTACTTACATTAGGACGCCAGTCAAGTGTTAAAGATGCATCAAGTGCATCAACTAAAATATTCAACAACAACAAAAATTTATTATTTATGAAACATAATTTTATTTTTGTTTTTTACCAATTGCTTTACATTCATTTGAATTTCTTCCTTCAGTTCGAACAGCATTGAGCCATTCTTGAAATAAATCCATTGATGAAGTAAATGGATGTATATTTGTTACCCAATCATCGGTATGTGATTGAAATTCAATTAATGCCATACGGACATCACTTTGATGTTCGATTATTGATTTTTTAACAATTGAAAGAATATTTAAACGAATACTATTTAAATAGAATGTCATCGATGATGAACAGTCAAGACAAACTGCAATATCCATAGTTGTGGTCATTTTTAATGATCACTAATTGCGATAATCAAACTATAAATAAAAAACACCATGAAGTCACTGATTATAATCAACTAATTCATTCTAATAAAACCACTCATACTTTGAATATCTTATGTCTTTCTCGTTTACGACCATCCACTAGTATAAGCAACTAAACCACGCTCAATGCCTATATAACGGTGACAGAACAGACGGACCGAGAAAGAAAAAAAAACGAAGAAAAAAATGAATCATAACATTTTGACTATAGTCTAGATTGTTTCTCTGAGCAGAACGATAGCATCTATTGGTTATCTCTCGCCGTCTTACATTCGCTCTTTATTCTCTTGTTATTATAAAAGACAATTTAGATTGGACTACATATAGAGAAAAAATATAAAACATATTATGGTAAAAATCGTATAATGCATTGAAAACTATTTCATCGTGTATAATAACTGAATATTGGTGATGCCTGGATGAAGAATGAAAGAACAAAGAAAATGGTTTTTTTTTTTCTTGACTGTGTCACATATTATTCAGATGATTCAACTCCATTTCAATAGAATACTAAAATTCGTCGTTAGAGTGTTTTGATGTAAAAATAGGAAGAAAACTGTTTGAGTCATCACTTACCAATCCAGAAGTTTCATCAATGAATATTTTATTTTGAGATTCATATGTTTTACTTCTTTATTTATACCAAGATTTTTTTTAATTTTTTTAAAATAAAAACAAAAATTTTTCTTCAGAACAATATTCAATATACATAAAGCAATGCGGAAGAATGATAGTCAGCAGTTTTTTTGTGTCAGTCAATCTTTTATTCGTACATTTCAAGGTCGTAGAATTTTCGACGATGGTATCAGAAATTATATCATTACGAATGAATTTTTACATCAATCGTAAAGTAGCGAATGATACTATTGATCCATAAACAGTATAACTCGAAACAACATTTAACAATATATAGAAGAAAAGAATAATATTTTGAGAAATTGACTGTTGAAATTGGTGTCTTTTTTTTACCATCATCAAAATAAATTATTCATAAAAATGTATTAAGATAAAAGTTTGACGAAAAACATTTGAAACGATTTCAGATATATCTAATCAGAAACAAGTTGACTCATAGTAAAGAGCAAGCTGTTCGTAAGAAATCAACATAGGCTTTTTATTGCTGTATATTTAAGCGCGCTCACAGAACTCGAACGTGTAGGTTCGTTCTAGAATGCATTCATTTTCAGTTTATTAATAAAACTACAAAGTAGAAGTAAACGAAAATGTAGGCATTCATGGTTAGTCATGATAATTCGACAGATAAGAGAACAAATGAATTCAAAAACTGAACGATAGTACATTGTCTTTAGAAAAAAGTTAATAATGTTCGGAAATATCCTAACCTGAACATAAGGGTGCTTCGATAATCAAGCTAACTGTTCGGTTCAAATTCTCAACTGCAGCTGTGATTCACTGTATATTTCAATAACTTTTCTCGATCAAATTGAGAACAAATAAACTAAAATCCATTAAGTGAATATATATGTATTTTGCATATCTATTGTTAATAAAAGGTTTAATAAGAATGAAAATATCTATCGATGTTAAATGCGTTTGAAATGGAGTCGATTGTCTACATCTTAAAT